TTTTTTCGTTCTGGTGATCTTCCTCTATAACTTGAGTTATATGGTGATTGATTCCTTGTGTAATTAGTATTGTTCGGAAGTGGTTTTCCTGAACTGTTGTTGCTGTATACATTTTTGTTTGGTAGATTTTGATCTTTCTTCATATATTGATAGAATGATTTTTTTGGTTCTTTATACTTTTGAGGTTTGTTCTGGTTATCTTGTTGTTTTTGTCTACATTCAGAAATACTATGTCCGTATCGTCGGCAATAATTACACCATTTTTTCAAAGATGGTTTGCCTTTAAAATTTGGGTGTTTTTCATAAATATTTAGTATTTCTGTGATTTTTTCAACTAGGTCTGTATCTGATTCCTGTATGTTATTGATATTTGTAGTGTTTGTTTCGATTCGATTAACATACTGTAGTTTTAGATTTTTTGTTTCTTCAAGTTTCATTGTGATTTCCGCTTGCTCTAGTTTGTCTACTAGTTTTCGAAAATCTAAATCGGGTTCTCGAATTGAGGAAGGATGAGATGCTCTCTTTTTTATTGCTATTTTCCTTAATTGAGGTGTTAGGGGTCATCATTAAAATTTCTGTCATTTTTGTGTTTTTATAGTCATGTGTATTTAATGAATATGCTTTTCGAACTAGTGTTTCGATACGTACTGCTAATTGTTTGATGGTTTCATTTGGTGAAATTTCATTACATAAAAGTCTTTGGTGTTGTTTATTTCTTTCGGAGTCAAACATTTTTGAAAATTCTTGTGTAAATCTTTTCCAATCTGATTTTATTTCTATAGGTAATACTGAAAACCATTTTTGGGCTGCGCCATCTAAGGTTGTTTGTATCAACAGTGTGCGTCGATGTATCCAATTTTGATGTAGTGGTGTATTAATTGGTTCAGGTCCTATATTTAAAATTAAATTTGCTGTTACTGCATTTAAATAATCTTCTACAGAATAATCAGGGTCTGTTCCTGTGAATACCATTAGTGGTTTATTTGATGTTATTGATGATCCACCCATAAGGTATGGATTCATTGTCATTTGTAGTGATTCTGCGGCATTTGGCATTTGTGAAAAAATTGAAAGTTGATTTTTTGTTATTTCGTGTTGTTGAAGGTAATATGGGAGTGGTATTTCATTTTGCATTTGAGTTGGTTGATACGAGTGTGTAATCATTGGTTTTTGTGGTTGAATTGGTTGAAAAGATTGTGTATTAGTTGGGTTTTGCATTTGTATTGTTTGTTGATTTCGTGTATCTGTTGGATTTGGAGAAAAAATTCTATTATATGTATAAGGTTTTTGCGCTCCTTGTCCGCGATATTCTTGAGTATACGGCAAAAGTATCTGGTTGTAAATAATCATCATCAGATGATAAGTAATCCGTAAGATGAGGTGCTTCTTTTTATTTTTATTTTGTTGAAAAAATGGTTAATTTTCACTACGATCCTGTGGAGGATGTGAATTAGTTCGAAAATTTACTGAGTTGGTTGTTGTCATTGGGTTATCCCAATATTGAGAACTTACATGATTATTATTAGTTTTTCGTGGGGGATAGTTTGTTTTTGACAAATGTGCGTAATTATAGTTGTGTTCTGCAAAAATGTTTCTTGTGAACGTTCTTCGTGTTTTTGACGGTACTGTCATAGGTCTATATGTTTGATAATCCATATGTGAATATTTTGGAGCAACCGAAGGTTTAACGGTTGATTGTAAAGTTACTTGTGCCAGTGAAGTGTTTGTATTTTTTGGTGTTGTTAAATTTGGACGTATCGGTGAAATACTTTGTTGTGTAGTTGTTGTTGTTTGGACGATTTCTTCATTTATGAAGTGTGATGGTGTTTGGATATCTTGTTGTGTAAGATTCCTAGTTCCATTAAGGTTTTCATTGTGTATGACGGTCGAATTTAAACTGTTATTTCGCGTATCAGGTAAAAATGTATTGTAGTTTAATGGTGTTGCATCAATGGTCAGTGGCATCAATGGTCAGTTTGATAAGATATTGTACTTATTGCTTGGCTTGAGATTGATTGTAGGATATTTATAAATGCATGATGAGACCATTCAGGGTCCCAAACGTAGTCTGACTGTTCTGTGATGGCAGTATCATCGTTTGGATTTTGAAGAATTTTTTCTTGTTTGTGAAATTAAGTCTATATTATGTGTGAAATAATTTATTATAAACCATGCCAAAATTTTTTGTAAGTCATGTTTTGTGTGTTGTGAAACTTAGTCTTTAGTGAAGTTTTCTTTGATTATATGTAGAAAAAATGAAAATAATGTGATTTCTTGTCGTACTTTTGTATGTTTAGATGTTTCAGTTGGTGAGATACTTTGAAATTCTGTTTTTTCTAATATTGAAATATAGCTATCTATTATTGCAAAAACTTCGTTAGTAAATATGGAGTTTGCTCTTTGTGAGTTATGATATTGTATGCTTTTAATATATTCTAAGAATACTTTTGAAAATTCTAATTCAAGATCGTCTGTTTGAATTACATATTTGCGGTGATTCGGGTTTGGTGTGCTGAATTCTATGGTGTAGATTCCGTATTGTTGTGTTAAATTACATATATCTTTCAGATAATGTTCAATAATTTGTCTTTTGATTTTTACATTTCTACTTTGCATGGGCTGATTCCGGGTTCAAACAAATTTAGGAGTAATTTCTTGCAAAAGTCATGCTGCCCTCTATTATCGGGTGCATCTATGAGGAAGGGGTAAACCTCTTCGTCATCTGGACTATCGTCACTTTGAGTGTGGCTGTGGCTCATTTTTTCGTTTAATGACTGTTAATATATAACTATCGATGTGTCTAATTGGTTGATTCCAATTATACAAGTGTACTGGTTTGTGTTTATATTGCTCTTTTATTCTTCTTTTTCCTCTTTTTGATGAATTTGAAGTTGTTTCTGAGTCGGAAAAATATAATTGATTGTGAATGGGACAATTTTTATCAATTGATTCTTTTAATTTATAGAGTTCATCTAAATTGCTGGCTTCTGATTCTGAAAATGCGTTTGTATTTTTTGAAAATCTTTTTCGTGTGATTTGTCTTTGTTTGTTTAATATTTTTCTTTTTATTGTTAGTCGTTTTGTTCTGATATATCCAACTGTTTGTGTATGAGGTGTGATTACAAGATCGTATTTTTTGTTATCTATTTCACAGTTGTGTAAAACGATTGTTTGTTTATTTCCTAGATTTTTGAATGACATAAGGTTTAGGGTGAAGGATGCAAAAAGTTGTTAGATGGTGTCTACTTTCTTAAACTGTTAGTCCTTACGATTTTTTTGGTTAGCTTAACCTGGGTCTATTTGTTCAGGGTTGGAGAGAAAAGTATATCGATTCCGAAGAATGATTTTTTACTTTCTCGTGGCTAGTATAAGCTAAGGTGTTAACTTACTTAATCTTACTTAGGGGTAGTGATTGTGTTCAAGGGTTGGAGAATAGTAAATCGATCCACAAGGTTCAGGTATAATTAGAACGCGAGTAGTTCGTTAGATACTATTTTAAACTTACTAAGTCTAAGATTTATCCTGGGTCTAGTAAGAGGAGGGTTCAAGTGAAGGATGAATAACCGAAGTTCTTCACTGTTTATCCTAATTTGAATGGTTAGTTTTGTTGAAAAATTTCTACTAGTCTTGGGTTTTTTGGAAGGGTTGGATAGTGAATCGACGTTTGAGGTCGTTAGACACTTGCTAAGTGGGTGGGGGAGAACAAAATTGTTCTTTTTGATCCAAGGATAGGCCTTGATGATCAGGTTTTAAATTTAGTGAAATAGAAAATTAATTAAGATCCAAGGATAAGCCTTGATGATCTGATTTTTAAAATTAAGTGAATTTAAGTTTAAAATGGTTTAAATTTATTTAAGAAAAAGATTTAGTTTTTTAATGATATTAGTGAGCTTATGATTGCTGTTATGCTTAGGTGATGAAGCTGGGACAACAGATGATTTTATGATTACTAACAATTTATTGTCATGCTACTAATTTTTATTTTGATTTTCAATAAATATTTTTCAAACATGTTTTATATAAGACTGCAGAATTTAAGAAAACGATCTGAGATCTTTTTATCAATCGTTATTGTATATTAATAATTTTGGTTTAGCGCCTGAAATGATTATGAAGATTGACTTCAAGATTGTTATGTTTGCAAACGAAAATCTAAATTCATTGGTAATAAGATTCTAAATATAAAAGTTTGTGTTGGCTTTTGCCGTACTATTATATAAGTATATGGTAAGTTTCTACTTTGGCGTATGTCGTCTCTTGTTCGAGGTCTTCTTACGATTCCGGGTAGTTCTGTTATTTTTCGGAATATCGGCTCTGATCTATTGAGTCGTAGAGACATTTAGATTAAATTATCGTCGTATAACATTTTTTTAAAATGTTTTGTCTAAATTCTAATCTATTTTTGGTTAAATCTAAGCTATTAAGGTCTTATTCGAGACTTATGGTCGCACCAGATGAGTTAAGACCGATGTGGTTAACTCATAGAGTAATTTCGGATAGGGTACACCGTCTGCTCGTCACGCTATCTTATTTTCGGCCGGATAGATTCGTGCAACTTCTTAGTCTAATACCGATCCTAATCTTACTCTTATACTTTCTAGTCTCAGGGTGTTTAACTAGTCTCTGCTAGGCTCAATAGATCTAGGGTATACTGGTTTGTTGCGGCTGCTGAAGTTCTCTTGGAGAGGCAACTAATTTCTAAGTTAAATTCAAATCTCTCTGGTGCTGAAATTACCTGAAATTACAAGTAATTTCAGCACTTACAAATAAGTGGGTTGTTAGTTAGATGGATCATGATTGGTTAATATTAAATACTTTACAGTGGTAAAATATCTAATTTATCCAATCATAAAATATAGTTTAGATCAGGTTCCACTTTTTACACGCAAAATCGGGTACCACAGAAATCATGAGAAGGGGTCGAACAAAAACCATCAAAATCCATTTGTGTTTTCATAGCACTTAAATCCATTCTCTTATTAGACTTTTTCTAAATTTAGCTCTATCCCCAGGAGCATCAACGACGATGTCGTTTATTCATGTAAGTAAACTCTTGAAACTACTTTTTATGCACCAGAGTTATACTTGCAAAAACAAACTGGGTGGTCTAAAGTTCGAAAAGGAATAATTTTCTGAGTCAGACAATCAATAGAACATTGGAAACAACACAAAAAAAAGCTTTCAAAAAGTTTTACGGTCCTTGCTCTTTGCTTCTCATCAATCATGTCTAAGTTTTTGTAAAAACCAACATAATAAATGAAAATTGCGGGATTTCAAAATGTCTTTAACTTAAGGTTTTTTATTTTCATTCTTTCATTATCATGTTCGTTTTCACCTGGCACAGTTTAATTCTCCTTTAACTAAAATAACAGGCTATTGGGTGTTTCAGGGTGTCGGCAACAACGCCCCTGGATTCTGTAACTTCGTTATCTTCGTTTTGTTGCACGAACAGATGCGCAAGGAGCTCGCAAGAGACTTAGCGGCCAAGTGGGGCACTTTGATCAACTTTCTCCTTTGCAGAACTGCATCTATGTTTAAATCTGGGAGTGGAAGGACTCTGTACGACACGCCGAAGAATCGAAACAGTTCTCGAAACAAAAGTCAGAGTGCATTGATGAAGTCGTCTTCGCAGCGCCGTGTTAGTATTTATTTGTCAGTGGCATTTAAAAAAGTATAGAGGTAAAGACAGTTGGCTTCAATATTTTTCAAATGGAGGTTCCATTCTTCAAAAGTCAAAACCTACCTTCAAGTTATGTTACAGCTGACCAAATCACTAATGTGAAAATCCCAAAACTTATATCCAATCACTTTTCTATTTGTTGTTACTTCGAATGCGTTTTATTGAATTGCAAAAAAAAAACATCCTCAAAATAACAACAGATATAATTTTCTTTCCAGGGTTATATTTTGGCAGGTCAGCAGAATTTGATATATCTTTTTTGTGGAGTTATGCGCGATTCTAAATTATACACAATTGATAAAGTTTCCAAAAAAAAACAAAAAAAACTTCCACTACACGGTATCCCAAGAACAAAGTAAGGTTCTTAGCGTCTAGGATTGTTTTTGAGTTATGTGCTATTGACTGTACTCATAGATTAATTTCAGATAAGGTACACCGTCTGCTCGTAACGCTATCTTGTTTTCGGCCGGATAGATTCGTGCAACTTCTTAGTCTAATACCGATCTTAATCTTACTCTTATATCTCCTAGTCTCAATAGATCTAGTGTATACTGGTTTATGCGATTTAGTTGCCAGAAGGAGTACAACTGTATTCCAAGTTTTATTCAAATTGTTCTGGTGCTGAAATTACAAGTAGTTTCAGCACGTACAAATAAGTGTAAATGTTAGAGATGGAATATGATTGGTTAGTTAGAAATATTTTATAGTGATATTCCATCATAAATATCATTGGTCTATAAATGCTAGTTTAGAACTGGTTCCATTTTAATAACACCAATTCTTTTGCCTCAATTAGTTTTAGAATGATTTATGAGCGGATTAAATAGCCATTTACTCGTTAAAAGCACGAACTATCTCGTGCGTCAATTCCTAATCTGTATTAGCTAAAATGGCAATTTTTGAACCCCATACCTTTTCAAAAAGTGATCAAAGATAAAAACTTTGATTCGAGCTCAAGATATCACTGGACTTCAGATTATTAGAAAAAAATTAGTTATAAGTGGCTAATTAAAATGTCAAAATTGGTCTGGAGAAAAAATATCCTGAGCACAAATTTTCTGTCACTTTCTTCAAAAGTCGGAACAATGATTTTTATATTTCATGCAGTTGGCAACTATTAACTAACTAAAACTAGTTAGCGTGGAATATCCCCCTCACTCGGTTAGCTCAGATGGCGAATGATTTAGTTTTGAGTTGAAATTTTCGGTATTGTACTCTACGACAGCTGACTTTTTTTTCGACTTAAAAGAAAACTATTTTAAAAAATATTGAACGAAACTTGCTGCAGGGAAAAAATAAAGTTTCTATCCTAAAACGTTCCTTCAATAATAAATCCTTTTCTTGTATTAATATTGAAGACGAGTTAAGATAGAAATTATTAGATTGTTATGCAAAAAGTTTTAAGATAGCGACTTAATTTTGGTCAACCCAGGCGTTTCAGCTTTTTTGAACATCTTTGATAATTGTATTTGCACATTTAAATTTTTTGTCGGTTTAAAAAGTTCTTGATCAAAATTTAAGTGTCTAAATTAAAAATCTCCGTTTTTTCCACTCCTAACATGTGAGTTGCACTTAAAAGGCTATTTTAGCGTGGCCATAATTTAATGAAACTTTGCAACCTCGCAAATAAAGCCAAAATCCACGTAAAACGTAATACCACGGAATAGAATTTGTAAAATGAAGTATAGGGAGAGTAAAAAAGAGCCTAGCACAATTCTTTTAATCGATAAGGAAAATTATTGTGGTTATTCAGAAGCGGGACATTAACAGTGACAATGACATGTTCAGTTCGGACGACAGTAGTCGAGGAGGGGGAGAGGCGTCCGAGGCGGAGTCGAACTGTCTCTACAATGTGCAGTCGGATGACCAATCAGAAGAGGGGAACGAATGGGATCCGAACCAATCATCCTTTGATTGAAGTTATTAATGCTACTAACTATTCAGGGGCGGATTTAGGGGGAGGGCGGGGGGCGGACGCCCTTCCCTCTCAGGGATTCGAACCCCTGCCAATGCAAAGGGTCCCCCCTTTGGTACTTTTTAAGAAATCTATTTTTGGCCGACCGACCCTAAAATTTTTCTAAAGGCGCCTTTGGCGCCAATATTTACTAATTTTGAGGGGGAGCGCGCGCCAAAAAAAAAAACGCGTTTTTTTGTCAAAATTTTTCAAAAAGTGCCCAAAAACGGCTACGGCTTTTTTTGACCTGTTTTTTTTTTCAAAAAATTGCCTGCGGCGCAGAAAATATGGCCAAAACAGGGTCTTTTTACTGCTTTGTGAGAGCTTGGAAAATCAATCTGATCGACCCAAAAAAAAGGTCGTCAAAATTTTCGAAAATTTTTTGAAAATCCGCCCCCCCCCTCGAGAAAATCCTAGATCCGCCCCTGCTACTATTATATGTGAATTCTAACTAAATCTTAGATAATTAACCAATTTTCATTATTTCACACCATTTACTGCAGAATAATTTTCTGCTTTTGAATTATGTAAAACATTGTTAGGTCTTCATTAACTATTTGATCTCAAAATAAATTTAACTTTTTTATCCAGGAAAATAAACACTTGCGTTGGGCAAAAGAAAGAATATTTAGAGCAAGGCATATATTTATTGTTTCTGCAAGTATACATCTTTTATTTTTTAGTTTAACGATTGCTATTTCGTTCTCAATTTTCCCTGATTTGCTACGAAGATTTTCAATTTTTTTTCTCCAGAGATGAATATAGGTCGTGGGTTGGAGTGTGTCTAAGTTAGAAAGATATTGGTGGGGGTACTTTTTAGTTGGTAACGTGACGCTAGTTGTTCTTCTGTGGGTAAATAAGTAGCGGCGGAGCTGGAGCCCATTTGTCTAAGCTCTCCACTTCCAAAACCGTTTCCACAAACTGTCTCGCCCCTTCCCTCTCTTTGTAACTCACTCTAGTCAAACACAAACAAAAACATCGACTTGGTTACTGTCGAAAATTTTTTTACTGGCATAGAGGAGATTTATAAAAAAAATCTTAGAAAAAAAAACGTCATCATAAAAACTAATCAGCTCACTATTTTATCCAGTCTAACCAATCCGCATGTCATTTAAGTTTTTTTTTACCAAATAGAGGAATTTTGCTAAAAAGTCATATAAAATAGACAAGGTGAACCAAAGTTGTTTTTTGATTATCCAATCATAATTCTCCTGGAGCGTTAAAAAAACCTTGTTGTTATTTTGAGCATAATTTAGGCATAAACTAAACCAAAAATTCTGTTTTTACCCAATTTTTAGAATTTTTCAACCAAAAAGAAATTGCAATTTTTTGGCCGACGCTCTCACTCGAAATTAATTTCTATTGGCGCCAAATGCGCCTTCACACATTTTTCAGGCTTGGTCGACAAAACCGAAAACTGGTGTTTTAAATTCTAGGTCAAGAAGGAACTTTTTGCTGGCAAAAGTGTAAGATTTCTAATTAGAAGCATATCCACCCTCTCATTTATACGCCATTGGAATTAAATAATAAAAAGACTGCTCGTATCAGGGCAAAGCCCTGAACGTTCCGACTGCCTTTTAAGGTCCATGGAGCAGTAATAACGTGAAAAAAATTAGATGTAAAGAAAAAAATGAAAATCATCCCCCCACACGCCATATAAAGTACAAAGTGATAGATTTCACTCCTAGTAACAACTCAAGTACGGCAAACCAGACTGCTCGTATATCAGGGTAAAGCCCTGAATGTTCCGACTGTCTCTTAATTCATATCGAACAGTTTTTGGGGAAAAAAAATATTGAAAACCTGTAAATTTTGGACAGAATCAAAGTGTAATATTTTGAGTCGTGCGAAATTAATGCGACCCATTAGCCAACCTGTATTCACTATGGAACTATTTTGTTGTGCGGGATAATTGTCTTAGCATAAATAATTCGCGTTACGCTCTCAGCAATATGAATAAAATCTTCAAAGCGCACATAATTTAGTCCAGAACATGGCCAATTTGGCAATTTTCAAAGTCCCAAAACTTTACAAAAAATTAATCGGAGGTAAAATATCTTTTTACATTTGAACTCAGTAAGTTGATATCTTCCTTGGAGTATAAAAAACTTTTGTTGAAAAATATTATTTGGATCGGCAAAAACTGACTGAGTAACAAAAAACGGACCGAGCATAAATACCCGGGTTGACACAAAATGCTTATCATACAATTTTCATTTATGAAAAAACTGCTGGTCTTACTATTTCATACAATTTCATAGTGCAAAAGTAAGTGTATGAAAATAGCAAACTAAACATTTTTTCCATGCTACAAAATTTTCAAAAACAAGCATTTTTTCCATACTCTGGATTTAAAATTTGAGCTTTTTTATCAGTCTTTTTGTTCTCAAAATTGTATAAAAATAGCATGATAAGAATTTTTTCCATACTATGAAAGTGTATGGTAAGAATTTTTTCCATGAAAGAAAGTTTGAAAGAAAATTTGAAAATAAGTTTTTGTGTTGAAATTTTGTGTTTCATCCGAAACACTATCCAAGGATTTTTGTCATAAGAAAAGCCAGAATGAAAATGGCAATTACCACGCAGATAATCTGAATTTGGTGATTTTAGCCATGAAAGTTAATATGAACATTTTGACATGGAGTCATATACCGAAAATGTAACTTTTGTATATGGCTAGATAATTTTTAGTTTCAAAATTTTGTTGGTTGAGAAACAAGCCTTTTTTATCAAATGTATTTTTTATCTTAGCAAATGAAGCAAAAAGTTATAATTGTATTTACAAAAAAATCTGTTTTGTGATTTTTGGATTTTTTGTTTGAAAAACTCATCTTGGACTACGTTATATACACAAAAAGTCAAATTTTGCATGCAAATTTTTTTTTTCGTATAACTTATAATTGAGCACAAAAGCAAGTTTGCAACCAAAAGAGGAATTAAAAATTGTTGCCTCAAATATGTGATTTTTTAAAAAAAAAACTATAATGATAAAAATTTTTTCCCACCGAAATTAAAATTATGCTTTTGATTGTCAAAATGAACTCTATTTTAAAAATAAATTTTAAAATTTATTTAAAGTTACCCAGACACGTTTTTTGGTGATTTTTGAAAGTTTTATTTTTTCTTTGACAAAATGATTATCTTCTAATTTTCGTACATATATGAAAATTGTATGACAAGCTTTTTTTTTATCGAAAATTTTTAATCATTTTTTTAATGACCAGAAAGCTTCAAAAAAGGCAAATAGACCAAAAATGTTCAGCAAAAATTTTTAAAACACTTTTTAGGTTTTGTTTGAATTTTGTATGACAAGCATTTTTTCCATAGATTTCATAAATGAAACTGTATGATAAGCATTTTTCTTCTATGGACGTCAACCCGGGTATTCCGTTTTCTTCGTAAGTCGGAACAATAAGCTTACTTCAGCCAAGTTGGAACGATTTCTAAGACGGTTAAATCTCCACTCACGCGTTAATAGCCCGAAATATATCGCGCGTTAATTGTCCCAAATTGGCCTTAATGGCAATATTTAAACCCCCATAACTTTACGAAAAATGATCACAGGTGAAATATCTTTTCAAATTTAATCTCAGAATAACAATACTTTTTGAACAATATAAAAAAAAATCCGCCAAAAACGGCTAGTTGAAAAGTCGAAATTTGTCTGAAGAAAAAAACCCACTCCGAGCACAAATATTCCGTTACTTTCGTTACGAAAATCGGAACAATGATTGATTACAAGCTATACGCAGTATGCGCTGTTTTTGGTAAAATAGGTTTGATGTATTTGATTCGATCGACGCATTAACGAACTCAGATATTTGCAGAACATAGATCATTACCAACTATAATATGAGCGCAACGACACTTACCCCAGTTCGGCGGGCGGAAACATCAATGGGATGAAAGTATCCATTTGATCACGCTTTCCACTTCTAAAACAGATAAAAATGTTATGTGGTCTGTTTTTGTTAGTTTCAATCAGAAAACTATTGCAGATATCATTTCTTTTACGATTTTGAACAGCTCTTGATAAAATTTTGTATTGGAAATTTTCAGCGAATGATAAAACTGATTGACATAATGATTGTTATACCCAAAGTTAGCTATTGGCAGCGTGGACCCATATTTCTCGTAGAAATTGGGGGAATACTCTACAGCCTGGTACGCTTTGTCCCCCTCAGCTATTTCCCCGATGAAGTTCCTCCGCTCTTCTTGGGACACTGAAAACCATAATGTTCTCTGGATAACATAGTTCAAAATGCAGTCAGCTGCTACACAAGTGGCACAGAACTTTCCTAACACTAATTATGACAAAAGCAATGAAAGACGAATATGAATCACCACTAAAAAAAATGATTCTACATTAGATTGCCTACGAGTGTCCTTGGTGGTCTAATTTTTTTCGGAAGAAACGCCATACACCCTACCCTACCAGCGGAATTAGGAAGAGGGGGGTTGGGGGTTTGCCCTTCAGGAGTTCGACCCCCTGCCGACCCAAAGGGTCCCCCTTTGTACTATTTTGAGATATCCTTTTTTGGTGACGGACCCAAAAAGTTTTCTAAGGGAGCCAATATATACTTATTTTAAGGGGGAGCGCGCCGAAAAAACGAAATTTTTATGTCAAAATTTTACAGAAGTTGCCTAAAAACGCCTTTTTGGCCTGTTTTTTCAAAATTTTGCCTGCGGTGCAGAAAATATTGTCAAAATGGGGTCTTTATAGTGATTTAGAAGAGCAAAAAGGTCGACAAAAATTTCGAACTTTTTTGAAAACCCGCCCATGTCCAAAGCCAATTGATGGTCAACCTAACGAAAAAAAAATTGTACGCTTGACCAAATTGATTCCTAGATCTCCAAAATATTAAAAATATAAATTGTTTTACTCACTGAAACATATTCAACGTTGTATGCCCTCTTCTCCAAAATAAGTACGAAATTTCGCCAAAAAATTTAAAATCAGCCCCATGAAATCCCCTTTCAAAAAATCACAGCTGCCTAAAACAATTCAATCACATACGAAACAAACCATTTACCCTCTTTTAGGGATAGGAGTTGGGATCGATTGATTCCAGATATCATGATAAATATTTTTATTTAGATGTTTATATTGATAATGACCTTACATTTGTAAATATTGCGTAGCATCTTCCTCTGTTCCTCGCTCTGCTCTGTGCGTCTATGCTTGCCATCAAAGTGACACTTCTTTGCGTTGTAGGGGTGGATGCCCTCCTGCCTCAGCTTTCGGGGGTCAGTCGATGATCTCTGACCGAGATTTGAAATCATTCCCGCCCCTTTTTCGCCTTTAATGTCACCATTTTAAGAAGAAAGTTGTATTCGAAAAAAAAACAGATTAAAAATTTTAAACTGATGTATTACACGTTAAAACGAATGGCAGTCTGCAGATTTTTGATCTAAGAAAAACGACAAAAAATATGGCTTTCTTTATTGTGTAACACAGCTCATATGTCAAAAAGCAGGTGGTAAAAATGATCAAATATGTAAACATTGTACCTTCCCAGTAGAAGAGAAAAACAACACTGTTTTTTGTTTATGCCACCGCCGATTAATGTTTCTGTGCTGATAGTTAAAGAACTCTTATGTGTTGTGTATTATATTACACGGATTGGTATTTGCGTTGCGAATGTTTTTTGTTCAAAATTAGCTTTATATGAACACTCTTGCATTGAAACAAGAGATGTGACTGCTAAGTCAGTTAAGTTATACCAACTTAAGAAGCATCAAAGTGAGATTCGTATTGAAATTTATCAGCTTTTTGAATAGTTTTCAATAGTTTACCAATTTCTAGAAACTGACGGGTTGACAATTTTTGAATAAATACCATTTTTTGAATTATGATTATATAGCAATTTCGAGGGTTTATCATTTTTCTAGAAGCTGACTGACGGATGTAGTTTTTCTGAATTGAAGCCAATTTTTGAAAAATGATTATATAACTCTCAGAGGCAAATTGCATTATTTTAAAACTAGTCTTTTTTAAATTTTTTGTTGAAAGGGGGAGAGTTTTGCTTGTTTCAAATTCTAAGTAGATTACACTTACAAAATTTTCAAAGATTCCGCGCTTAAATACGTGAAACATAAACTTAGTTGTCTTATTGTTCCGACTTTCGATACGAAAGTGACGGAATATTTGTGCTCGGGGTGGGTTTTTTTTTCTTCAGACAAATTTCGACTTTTTAACTAGCTCTTTTTGACAGAATTTTTTTGACAGAATCATTCGAAAGCTATTGTTGTCCTGAGCTTAAATTTGAAAAAATATTTCACCTGTGATGGTTTTTTGTAAAGTTATGAGGGTTTAAAGATTGCCATTTTGGTCAATTTGGGACAATTAACGCGCGATATATTTCGCGCTTTTAACGCGTAAGCGGAGATTTAATCCGTCCTTTAAATCGTTTCAAATTGGTTGAAAGAAGCTAATTTGCCATAATTGTTTAGTTATAATGAGCAAAATCTATTCTCTTAAGCTTTATATGGCGTGTGGGGGGATGATTTCATAAAAAAAAAATTCAAATTTTAGAAAAAATTTTTTTCACTTTTTTAAAATTATATTTAATTTTTTTATGTTACTACTGCTCGATAGACCTGAAAAGGCAGTCGGAACATTCAGGGCTTTGCCCTGATACGAGCAGTCTTGTTAGTTTTGTCGCGGATTCCACAAAAAGAGAATTTAGCTAGTTGTACTCATTAATTGTACTCAAGCATTCAAGTTGTACTGACAATGTAAAAGCACCTCAAGTTAAGCAATCCAGTATATTGACGTTTTCCATGAGATGTTTAAAAATTCCAATTTACAGTTTCATCCTAAATTTTTTTAAAAGCTATTTTGAGCAAATGACAATTATTGAAACTACTAAATTTAAGAGAAAACTTTGTGGTTGTGTTTGGGTGAATAGCTCAGTGAAAACATTATCTTTGCAGCAATGGTTTTAGACAAAAAAAATCATAAGAATAAATCAGAAAAATTGATCTAATAAATTCTGCTTCTAGTGTTGAAAATGGGATAACTAGTTTTTGAGGTTACCTTGCAAAAGCTTCAAAATAGTGTTTTGGAGTTTGTTAAAAGATGGAAGACCCAGCAAACAATCACACAAAAGTTCTGCTACTTCTGAATTTCTTAAAGTACTGACTTTTATACTGAGAAAATAAAAGAAAGAAAGGGATCTTAGGATTTGTACGATTTAGAAGATGAATGAAAAACACGTTTTCTCATCACGAAAAATTAGCAAATTATCTTTTCGAAAACATTGAAATAAGGTAACCAAAAAACTTATCTAAATTCAGTAGCTTCCGTTCCTGTGATCCATACTGTCTGAAAAATTTAGTTTGAATTGAAAGTTACAAAATAACCCAAGCAAGGCTTAATATTGATACGACTGAAAGGTTTTTGCACTACTCGTAAATAGCGTATGAGGTTGTCATGTATGGTTCGAGGAAGATCGAGTCCACCTCGGGGCAAGTGGACAAACTCGTTGGGAGAAGATGCTGCAGCAGTAAGCGAAAAGGAGTATCCACACGGATGGATGGTCTATTATCGTTCTGGATACCAAGCCTTGAGCAAAAACAGTGACAAGAGCTAAATTGCTGGCATTTTAATACTGGCTTGAGCGTTTGAGGATCTTGGTCGATTTTGTTTTGACACTTAAAAATTGGACTTTCCGCTATACTTCCAGTGAGCAATCTTTCGGAGGATAAAATTTTGCATTCATCCAAGGCAGACAAACAATTGTTCCTTAAAAGTGACCTTCTGATATAGTTAGTCTAAACATCTGATATAGTTTGATTTGCTAGTGTTTTCGATACACGACATGCAACAGCCACTAGGACGTTTGCATAACTTCTTAACCCGAGTAAGTCCAATACCTTTCGTTTGTCAGTCGAAGAGAACAAACAAGGGGGCGGGATTAAAAAGAAAACCGCGCAATCTCTTAGCTCTTTTAAAATCCTTGGCACCAATACGCTAGACGAGGTTAAGATTACGAGCGCAGAATCTGATATTGGATTCATATAAAACGTTGACATGACCTACCCCTGTCACCTTCACAATGCACAATCGGATTACCCAAAAGAAGTGATACCAATCATAGAACGATGGAAAATTTGTACACTTGGGCACCACATCGAAGTTTTTTCAAAACAAAACTACCGAAGAAAAATTACAGAATGCATTACTTTATTCTTCAATTTTGCGTTAAACCAGGTTTGTTTATTGTTAAAATTAATCCAGTGCTTCATTTTTGTCAGAAAAAAAACACAGTTGCTCCATGTAAATTTGAACAATTCGCGGCAAAAAAAAGTGTTGCTAATAATAATGACCAAGATTTTTTCAAACAAAATGTGTAAGTGTTTTTTAAACTTTTGCGAACCCAATAGAAAAAACACAACTTATTATAGACATTGTTACAGCTCACAGACAGGGGCCGAACTAGGATTTTCTTGAGGGGGGCGGATTTTTAAAAAAAATTTGGGACTTTTTTAGTGTCAAACAAATTGATTTTACGAGCTCACCCAAATCAGTAAAAACGCCCCTGTTTCGGTTAAATTTTTGTACGCCGCAGGCAAAATTTTGAGAAATAGGCCAAAAAAGGCGTTTTTAGGCAATTTTTGGAAAATTTTTTACTAAAAACTTGCGTTTGTTTGGCATGCACTTCCCCCTCAAATTTTGTATTAATTGGTTCCAAAAACGCTTTTAAAAATTTTTGGAGTCTATCGCCACTTGGATCTCTCAAAATAGTACAAAAGGGGAGCCTTTGGGTCGGTATGGGGTCGAATCCCTAAGGTCGAATCCCTAAATCCGCCCCTGATCACAGAGGAAAAGCAGACTCTAGCTACAAAAAATCATTTAGCAGCGTATAATTATTTGATGCCGAAATAATACCTTGTACTTCAAAACCAGTCCATCAAAAATTGGATCAATCCACAATTGTGGGGCAACCATCCGTGATCTGAATAAAATTAACATGTTTAACTACCAATTTTAAGAAACATTTCGACTGAACTATTTTATTTTATAATTCTGATTTATTTTTGTCTGAACTCTGCAGCAACAATTTCTACAATGATAATGCCAAAAAAAACTAGTCTGCAAAACGCATGAAATTTTTCCTATATTAATCCAACCACGCGTCAACACCACTATACCGATAACAACCGCGTGACACTGAAATTGAAAAATGAGTTTGCAATGAAAATCATACAGGAATTTTTGGAGTTGAAACCCAAACCCATTAGCATAGTTGCAGCTATTAAGCTAGCTTTTGTAATCTTTTATTTTTTTATTTACTATACTTTTATACATTTAAATCTTTTGGCAGAAAGATGACATTTCAAACTTTTTGTAAAAAAGAACATTTCATGAAAAAAAAAAGAAACCAATTGCTTATAATATTTTTACTTTAAAGTTAACCTTTTTTAAATGAAAAACTTAAACAGTGAGCAGATAGAGCGACAAAATTAGCCTAGGGAAAAATAAAACACGACCTATTCAAAAAAGTACTCTCTTGCACCGGTGTTCACTATCTAAAAACACTCAAATATGATGCAGCGAAACTAATTTGAAAACAATTGTAACAGAAAAACTAGCATAAGTGTATTGACAACAAGCGATACAGAGATACAGATAAAACGTTAGCGTTCAGCCGTGAAGCGATGCAGCATCAGAGTGATTGCGTAGGTGCAAAATTGCAGTAAAACATAGAAACTCAGAGGGACTCAATGTCGATGTATTTACGCCCCCTGAAGCCGGCTGCTATCAGCGTGATTATTTAGACCTGAAACGGGACTCATAGTTTTGGATATATAAATTTAAAATTCTGATTACATGTATAAAATACATGCTTTATTTTAAATTGGTTTTAAAAAAAAACAATCGAAACGTTCATTTTTGTTCAAAAGTATATTCAACAATAAACATAGCTTACAGACATATAGAAACCAAACAAAACTTGCATTTTTAAAAATCTCCGATTCAATCTCACAAAAGTAAGATATAAAGCTTAATATAACCCGCAATTTGTACTATGTAGTTTGGGAGAGCGTGCGGGAAAACGAAATGTCAATACTTCCAAATTCCAATATTGATCGCAAAAAAGTTTTTTTTCAACCCCCTAGACAGCAAGAGTGTCCAAAAATGTTGGAGCAAAACCTCCTTAGGGGTTTTTAAGTTATTGTAATGCTACACGGTCTTCTTTGATATGGGTTTAAAGCGGTATATTTTTAGGTTTTTTTGCATACCCGGGTTGACCTCCATACACCGAAAATGCTTATCATACAAATTCCATACATCAAGTGTGTGGTAAAATGCTTGTCATAAAATTTTCATACAATTTCTAAAAATGGTTGAAAACTGGTATAAACTCGTTTCTGTGGCTGTTTGATTCCAATAAAACAGTCTGGTGATAAAAACTGAGGTACTTTTGTTACATCAATTGTAAAAGACAGCAACATTCAGGTCGTTTTCTATGCCTTTTCAATGCAAGACCGGCCAACCTTTGGTGTTTTGAGTAACCAAGGTCTTTGTCACTTGTGTTCGGTTGCAACTACAACCGAAAATTTTTCAGAAAATAAATTTAGAAAGAAAAATCAAAATTTTTGGTTTATGGAAAAACACACTATCATACAATTTTCATATATGGAAAAATGCTTATCATAGAGTTTTCATACAATTTTCTGTACGAATGGAATTGTATGAAATTGTAT